GTGCGTATGGGCGAGCACCCGGCAAAGGGGAAGGGCCCACGGAAAGGAGCGGAAGGGGGGGGGGAGGGGGCGAAGAAAGGAGGGATAGGTGGGTTAGCAGGTGGGCACGCCCGGCCAAAAGCCACCCGGCGACCTGGCCCCTGGGGCACTGTCCGTGACATATGTGCGCCATGGATGGTGCGCCTTGCATGTGTGTGTGTGTGTGTGTGCGCGCGTGTGTGTATGCGTGTGCGTGTGCAATGCGCGCGGCGCATGCCGAGGCGGGAAGGGGAAAGAAAGGGCCCAAGCAGGGGCCCGAAGAAAAAAGGGGAGACCCCACCGGCCCGCCGGACGTACGACTCATAGAGCATCGTCTCGAGGGTCACCTGCTGGACCTTCGGCATGACACGCGAGGAGTGCCCGATGCGGACCATGCGCACCTCCGGGCATGGGAGCAGGCGCTCGGCGATGTTGTCCACCGAGATGTTGGACGGGCCGCACACCAGCACCCGGAAGGGCCGGGCATGGGGGTTGTTCTGGCGCTCGCGCTCGCCTCGCAGGACCAGCTGGCGGATGATCTCCACCACGACCGTGGTCTTCCCGGTGCCGGGAGGGCCGTGGATGAGGGCCACCGACTCGGCGGCCAGGGCATGGCGAACGGCGGCCTGCTGGCTGGCGTCCAGCTTCGGGTTCAGCATGTCGACCTGCTCGTTGAGGGCGAAGAACCGCGGGGTCTGGTCGTCGAAGACCACCTGCGCGAAGGGGGCATTGATGCCGCGGGTCTTGAGTCGCTCCAGCGCGCCCTTCATGCTGCGGGGCCGGGGTCAGGGGGTTCATCCGGCGCGAGGGGATGGGCGGGAATCCGGTGTTTGGTATTTCGTATTTCGTGCGTGGGTGTGCGTGTGTGTGTGTGTGTTTGCATGTTAGTGGCGGGTGTGCACGTCAGTGATCGCGTGCATCCTCGTCCATGCGCATATTCATGCGTGTGTGCGGGGGCGAGCATGCAGGCGCCGACAGATGAATCGCCCCGCCGAGCAGGTGCCCCGGGCACATGGCGGTCGCAAGCCGCGCCGGCCCCACGAGGCTGGCCCCGGCCCTGGCCGGCACATCGCGAGGCCGGGCACGTAGCGCTGCGTAAATGCCCGCTGGCCGTTGCGGGCATGGACGCACCGCTGGTACGGAACGGAGTTGGCAACATAGGAAACCCGCAGAAACGTGGCGTCCACAATCTCCAGAGGCAGGTCCGACTCGGTGGAGACCACCAGGGACTTGGCGTCGAGCGAAATGACCACAGCAGGGACCTCTGCGTCATTCCGGGCAGCCGCGCACGCACACGCAGCAGGGAGGACATCGTGAGCATCGGGAGGGGGCGGCCATTGGCGGCAAGGCGGGCGCGACGTACTGGTCTCGGCATCGGCGGTGTCCGGGCTGATGTGGACCAGGTCACCGGGGCGGAAGTGCGACTGCGAGGTGAAGAGGCCGTTGCGCGGCGGCTCGAAGGTGAGGAAGCTGCGTCGGGCTCGTCAGGAGGGCTGAATACCAGGGGGGGGGGGGGGAGATGTCAGGCGAGGGAAGCCCATCGTACAAGCGTCCATTGAGGCCGATGCGGGAGGAGGCCATCTCGAGCCCGGCGAAAATGAGTCCGCTGAGGATGAGCTCGCGCTTGGAGAGGGTGGCCATGGCCCTGTGTGTGTGTGTGTGTGTGTGTGTGTGTATGTGCGGGCGTGTGCGGGCGTGTGCGGGCGTGTGCGGGCGTGTGCGGGCGTGCGCCGACGTCCGCAGGGGCGCACGGGCGTGCGCCGACGTCCGCAGGGGCGCACGGGCGTGCGCGAGCGTGCGCGAGCGTGTGTGCGTGTCAGCCAGGGGGCACATGTGTCAGGAGGCGGGGGCGGAAGGGCAGACGTGGGGGGCTGGCACAGACTCGGAAGTGGCGGCGGCAGCTTCCTCCTGCTCCTGGGCCAGCAGGTCCAGATGCTGGTCACAGAAGTCCGTCAAAGCAGTCAAACCAGACATGACGGCGGGGGCAATGCGGGGAGGGTGCTGTGCTCGGGCGGCGGGAGGCGAAACGGGGAGTATCAGGGGCGGTGGGGGGATGAGGGCGGTGACTGCATGTTTTCCCTGCCTCCCGAGGGAAACGCACAACTCCGGCCCGGCGGCCGATCAACCAGACGCGATTCCGTCCCATGCCAGGTGCCAATGGTTCGCCGGGCGTGGGAACACTCGAGATCTGGCTCGGCGCGCCGGGCGGGCCGCTTCCGCGTCTTTCCCGCCCCCGGCGGGGATTGGCCCGGGCCTCTCGCCCCCCCCCCCCTCTCCCCCCTCTCCCGCCTCCCAGACGCGATTCCGTCCCATGCCAGGTGCCAATGGTTCGCCGGGCGTGGGAACACTCGAGATCTGGCTCGGCGCGCCGGGCGGGCCGCTTCCGCGTCTTTCCCGCCCCCGGCGGGGATTGGCCCGGGCCTCTCGCCCCCCCCCCCCTCTCCCCCCTCTCCCGCCTCGTCCCGTGTGCGTGGCGCCG